AGAACATACTTTGCTTCACTGGAGGTAGTCATATTTTCAGTACCTACCTTACAAATGAAAACAGAGAGTTCTAGACATATCTCCTCCCTCCCTGTCATAAATTAAATACAATCATCCTGTCCTAGCTGCTGTTATACCTGAAACAAAATCTGAATAAATGCTCTTTGCCATGACAGGTCACTGTGGCTTTATACGGACCAAATTCTGATTTGGTGAAAGTCCCGTATCAGAGCTTCTAACAACCCTGGTACATTTTCTCTTCCAGTCCCTAGACTTCTAGGAATTGGCAAAATTTCCTTCTAGAGCAAAATACTTCTAGACACATCTAGCTGGGAGAGTGCTCTTAAAAGAGAATTGCGTTCCAAACTGGAATGGAGCTCACAAGAGCACATCTTTCAGGTATGTGGATAGGTCTGAGGGGGCACCTGTCACTCAAGATTTCATGTTTTGGATTAGTTCTGTCATCAGAAATAAAGAGGTCTAACATTGGATAAATTTTTCAGTAGGAAGAATGTGAAATGAAGCCCATTTTTTGTCATGTATTTAGGGTCAAAATCGGGTTTTAGACAGAGTCGCATTGTCTGCTGCAAAGTGTCTGCCAGCTAAGGATCCACCTTGGATGATAAAGTAGGTGATAATTTTTTAAGCATTTCATTTAGATGAGGAAATCAATAATTATACATTTCTCCTCAGTCAGGCATCGGCCATCAAGAACTGAAGAAACCAGTCATGAGAGGACAAAGCAAGACCTGTTTCTCGTGCACACCCAGCCTCGTGTAGCTGGCCAAAGAGATTGCACACGAGTCAGTAGCCCCACAGCAGCTCATTCTTGCTCCCTGCCCTGCATGGCCATTGGGAGAGGAGAGCAGAGCCGTGGGCTCTCACCCGGCACTGCGCGAGTCGCGGGCGGCACGTGGGGCTGGGGCCTGGACGTCCTGGACCGGCCCCAGAGCGCTGAGGGGAGGAGGGGGCGGAGGCCGGCTCCCCGCCGCAGAGCTTATTGCCCCGACCCTTGGTTTTCATCCGTCTCCAGGAACAGGAGGTTGCTGGCTTGCGTGGTGCTGCATGCAGAGGAATTGCACGCTTGGTGACAGCTTTCATGTGACATGCGATAATCAATTATTCTCTGCTTGCAGATTGGTGTAGGAGCAGAGAGCTCTCTGAAGGCCCAGAAAAAAAGCTGCCATCCTAAGCAAACCTTATTTCCTTTTAACACTGAGAAGTTTTTGCTGTATGAACAATATTCTTGTTCTCCTATTAGTCAAACCCACTGCAGCTGTATGAGCTTGTTCCTCATCCTTGACTGTGTCACTGCAACTGTGGCGAGATTTGTGTCCATGCTTATATGTCTACCTACGCATGGGAGACAAATATTTTTGTCAATACACTTTTCTGCCTTTTTCCCTTGCTGCTGTTCATGCCAACAGTATCAATTCTTAGAAACCTGTTTGTCTAGGAACTTTTTTATTTTGGAGTATTTATTAGTGTATGAGATATTCGAAGTAGTAGGGCTATCAGCAGTAGCAGTGTGAGGCCAGAACTGGTGTGCAGTCTTACTGTTTTAAAGCACCAAGGTGATTAATTAAACATTTTAATTCTTGTTTGAATGCAATTAGTGAACATTGCAACAGGTAAGGATGGCACCACTGTTACATAGGGCACTTCCATGTCTCCCTGGTCATATTCTCCATGCATTAGTGCTGTTGTTTCCGGTAGCATTAGCTAGAGAAAGGCTTTGGGTTTTTGCACCTTTATCAAGCAAATGTGTGTCAAGAGACTATAAGTGGGAGAGAAGGGTCTATCTGGAAGCTGGCAGCATGCTGTGGTGTGTAGAGTTTCCCTCACTGATGTGAGGGGGTGGTGGCAATGAGGCCTGCAGTTGCCTGCTGTAGGCACTGGCAGTCAGGCTGAGGCCTGGGAAATGCATTTTGCTTCATTAGGCAGCATGCCTGTGGCATAAAACCCTGTAATTCACAGAGAAGTATTGCGATGCGTGTTGTCAGGCAGGGCTGTCAATCTCAGACATCCACAACCACAGGGCTTTTATTCCATAATAAAGCTTTTCTAGGAATTAGAGGATTTAAAGAAAAAAATCTCGTTGTCTTTTTATTTTTTAGGATTTTTTTTTTCTGTGAAGGCTGAGGTTTTCACTGAAAACTGAGATCTTCACCTGACTTCAGGGTATTAGGAAAAACACCAAGTCATACAAAACTTGGCAAAAAAAAAAGAAAATTACAGAAGTTCTTACTAGCGGCTCAGACCTGCTCGCGTCGCCTGCATCTGGCAGAGGAGCAGCAGTGCTGACCCTGTGGACGCGGCACTGGCGAGCGGAGCTTTTCTCACCAGGCTGCAGCTCGGGGGCTTGGAGCAGCTGCACGGTTAGAAAGCAAGGAAGGTGGAGCGTCCGTGTTGCCAGGCACTCGTGCAGCCCCAGGGAGGCAATGCCAGCTGAGGCAGGTTTTAGGCTCCTCTGTACATTGTTCTTACTGACCTGCCCTTCATCCCAAAGATGACAAACCGGCAGTTTGGGAAGAGTAAAATCCAAAGATTCTTTTAATGTAAAAGTGGAGTTCACTGATTTGGAAAGACTTCAGGTGCTTCTGTACATAAAAGGCCTAGAAAGTTGGTGGTTGAGCAGCTCTTTCCATTCTCTCTCTCTGTTTTGAATTCAGTTGAGATCTTTTTCTGCTGTGCAGCCCTGAAAGGAGCAATAACTCTTGAAATAACATTTCAGCATTGTAACACTTCTCCCTTGACACTGTGACATTTGGTATTGGCAGCCCAGCCTGCCAGTCTGGTGTAATTCTGGCTAACTCGCACAGTGCAGCCAGTTGCTCTTTCCTGCATAGTTCATATTAAAGCAACTTTCTCTTAAAAGTGCTCCAAGTGGCTGTTTAACATGGCTAAGCCCTAGGAACTCTCTAATGCAAATGGAAACTTGCTCTTGGGTCACCATTTAAGTAACCTTATCATTATTTCTAAAAATTGTTTTAGGTACAGGGGCCTGATTTATAATCTGGTAGGCTGGAACACTGTCGTTCTGTTTCAGGGAGCGGATAACCCTAGAGGTGACGTTTTGGGTCTCAGAGATGTGTGTGTTTGCTTTAGTACTCTTGGATCTGACAATTCACCCAACAGTTCAATGTAACCGCAGCCCACTGAATTCTGCATTGTATTTCCTTCAGTCAGTAAGTACTTTACCTCCAGAAGAAACATTTCTAGTCAGGAGCAATGCGTAGAAACTTTTGACTACTTGCGATATTGATAGGAAAAAATATATATATACAGATATAAAGAAGTTGTGTGTATTATTTATCTTGCAATCAAGAAAGTACAAAAATAACAGGGTGAAAACTGTAGGGTTTTAGAGGAACGCATTGGCTCTTGCAGCATGAATAATACAGAGCCCACTGAAGCTTGCACTCTAGAACATGAGGTCCAATCAGTACGTACTTACAAGTAAATACATACTTTTCTGTAAAAACAATTTTAAAACCATGGCTCTTGAGAGGAGACTAATTATGCTCATTTAGCTTCAAGTGAATAATTAAACGGTGAGGAGTTATTTTCCTGGCTTTTCTGAAATGTTTCTTCCTTCCTTCTTATTTCTTAGGTACTCAACTTTCAGACTTTTCAGCATCAGTTAAGCTCTGCTTCTGTTGTCTGGAAAAAAGAAATTACGTAAAGGAAATCTGCCACAGATGTAAATATAGTGCATTGTTACAACAGAAGTGTCATTATTATAATTAAACCTCTTGAGCATATGAGCCATCAACTTTTCCTCTCAAGCTCTAGACTCTGTCTGGGACTCAGCCACCTGTATGATCTTTGCATCTTTGAAGACCTTCCCAGAGAGCCAGTGCACTTTGTTTCTCTGGATTGTTCTTGAAATAAATTTAGCTTTTAGACCTCCATAATGCGTTGGCTTTGCCTTCTACCAAATACTTGTGTAGTAAGGGCTGTAAGGTTAACCAAGAATGTGTTATTTCTCTCACACTAGTTTTGCTGAGATTTGCAGTTGGGTGAATGCTGTTAATCTATCTGACTCACAATGTATTTGTGATCACATTGGATTAAGGTAGATTCGTTGATCGTGCATCAGGAACCTACAAGGTTAAAAATTGAAGTAAAGATTGAATAGAAAGCAGGTCTGAAATGGACCTGAGAAGGCAAATAGTCTAGGCTGGAGTCCTGAGCTAAAACTAATGGCATCCATGTTATTCCTTCCAGAATTTTGCCTAACCTGCTCTTAAAAGACTCCCATAATAGAGATTTTTATCACCCAGCAAGGTTTTGGGCACATTTTTTCCCTGTTAGTGATGCTTTTCTGATGCTTAATCCCCTGCACCATATGCCCAAGATTTTGTCTTCAAGCTGTCTCCTCCATTTGGGGGAGACAGGAGGGTGCCAGGCATCTCCCTTCGGGGCTGTGGGACAAATGAGGGAAGGGAAAGCAGAGGGTCTGTGTGGAGAGGAAGGCGCCTCTACAGGAAGTGCTCAGGGTGGGAGGAGAGTCATGGAGATGACAGTCCTGGAATGAGAGCCCTGGGAGGATGAGGAGGAGATCACGGAATCATAGAATCATAATGGCTGGAAAAGACCTACGAGATCACTGAGTCCAAGCATGAGGCGCTCAGCACTATACCTGTTAAACCATGTCCCTAAGTGCCTCATCTACACGTTGCTTGAACCCCAGCTCCCTCAGCCACTCCTCGTAAGGTCTGTGCTCAAGCCCCTTCACGAAAGCATTGAAAAAGAGACGAAAGCGTTGCTCATCCTGTTTCTTACCTGGTTTCTCACAACTACTGGGGTGAACTCTGTGGTATTTTTGCAATGGTTTAGGAACATGTTGAACAACAGCAAAGCTCAGAAACACAACTTTGCTGTGATGGAAAAACCTGGATCTGCCTTTAGGTCCCGTCTGTGGAGCTGAAAACTGTAGTAATATGTTGACAGAAAAACATGAGCATAATGCCCTTCTATCTTTTCTCCCCTCACAGATGAACAGGAGCCAGCAGTCAGCAGTGACTCAGATATTTCACTGATTATGGCAATGGAGGTTGGACTGTCGGACGTGGAGCTTTCCACCGATCAAGACTGCGAAGAGGTGAAGTCTTGAAAACCACACAGAAACCCGACACTAAACGACAGGGGAGGGTCACAGGGAGGGACCGAGTCAGCTTTGTAGCGTTTGGACCAGTCATGCACTCACCTCCAGAGCACTGTCACTCCAGCACACTCATCCTGAGATGGTCACGAAAAGCAATAGCAACAGTTGTGTCTGCCTGGTTGCAGGTTCGTCATCTGCACATGTCCATTAGACTCACATGGAAGATGAAAGCTTCCCGTTTACCCGTGTGCTTGAGAGCAGTCATGCAGCTCTTCAGTGGCTCATAAATACACAACTGAAATGACAGCTTGAGTGTTTTCTACATTTGGTCAATGTTTTTGTTTTTTTTTTAAGACCTATGTATGTTTGTTTGTTATGGATGGACACTGTATTTTTGTTGACTGACCCCAAATTTTTCAAGAGTTCAATCCAAAAAATTCAGTTCCCCTTCACTGGTCACTTCATGATCTGAATCCAGGTTTTGTTACTGCCTTGACATTTCTGCGTGACATGTACATGGCTTCAGAAGGATAGTACTTCAGCACCCTATGTTAAAATGGATCCTGGTTTTCTTAAATGGGGCCTTGGAAATCATGTATTTTGAAAGCTTTTAATTGTAGGAGAGCTCTGAACTAACAGAGATCACTGAGTTTTTATTTAAAACTGCATTATGTTGGCTTTTATTTGGAGCTCTATTAGAAACAGGTGTGGTAACATATGAGGGAGAGAAAGAAAAGCGTTAAGCTTTACCATGGCCTTGTAACCCTTTGCTCTATCTTAGCCTGTTAGCAGTTGTCGGTACCTTAACAGCCTTCCTTCAAGTCCTGATTCAATAGCTGGAAAAGAAGATCTACTTACAATATTTTGTGTTTGCTTAATTTTGCAGACCAAAATCTGGCCACTAGGCCAAAGGAGTGTCTGAGAGGTTTCCAGAGGGTGCTGGTTAACAGCTGCTCATTACGTGGATGACAAAAATATTCTGAGAAAGGGTTTCGAGATGCTAATATCGGTGTCAAAAATTGCTAATGAAGCAAGAGGCAGCTGCATGAAATGTTTATTCCTTGTTTTACTTTTTTTTTGATATATTTCACTTCTAATTATTTAAATGCAGTTTTGCCTGTTTGTTATCAAACACAGGAATCCAAAACCTGGATTCCTCTTTCAGAGGAACCAAAGCAGTTCCTTGCCTCCAGAGTCTCTGCTAATGTTGTCACAAGCATAACAGATTACTTGCAATTTACATGGAACTATGTATAGCAAAAATTTGGGAGAGCAAATTTGGAAACAAACAGAAGTAACATAAAGCATCTAAATAATAATGACTTGTAATTATTATCTGGTCCATTCTGAATTATGCTTTCCATAGAAGCAGCTTGTTTTGTCACTTGTTTAGTGGACAATTTCGTTTTTCAGTCAAAATATTTAACTGCGAAGAAGGACTTTTAGTTTACACAAGAGTAAATGGTTTCTGTTGAGAGTCAGATGGATTAAATCACATTACAGCCTCCTGAGTAGGTCAGGAGAATCAACAATTCACCTTGCCTCAAAATCTCATGGAGAGTTGAAATATTTTCACTTAGCTGTGTCACATCAGCAACTCAAAATGCAAGTATAAGGGTTCATGCTCCATTTTATCTCCTTCTGGTTTACATGTTACCTGTGGAAATTAAGTTCCAGCCAAAATTTGCCTGTCAGATCTTATTCAGGAACAAATGGGTTTGCTAACGTCCCTGAAATCTTTGGTGGCTTGTTTTTCAGCTCCAGGAAGAAGGAAAAAATATACTCCGTGCTTCGTGGTCCAGTTAGATCTCAGTTACTTTTTTTTATTATTATTTTCCCTGGTCCATATATTGCAGGGTAACTTTGAGGCAGAAGAACACAAGCTACTAAGATTTCAAAGCTGTGATCCATAAATGTGCCAGTGCGTTCGTGTAACCCTTTCAAAATGACGTCTCTTTTAACTGAAGAGGTGCAGACAGTTAAGAGATCTGTTTGGTTTAAAAAGGAAGTTAGAGATAGTTCCAGACTGTGTGCCTGCCCTTGGTCACTCTTGCCAATATTTGTGCTTTTATAAACATTTTTTTTCATATTCATTCTTTAATGTCCTCTCAATTTCCTGTTGCTATGTGAAAGGCCCATAGTGTCAGGGTTATTGATAGTGAAATTCACCCTATGCAGCGAGTTAGCACAAGGTACCACATAAGCTCTGCTTGAGCCATGGAAATAATGCTGAAATGGAATTTAAGTGGTTCATATGTCTAATACTGGCCTTTCACATAGGAATGAAATGCACCTGAGATGCTAATGCAGAGCAAAGCGAGAAGCTGCTGCGTGCAGCCGGCTCTCCCTGTGGGACGGATGTGCCCCAGTGCACGAGAGCTCCTCCTGCTCTAATTTAAGGTCCTGCTTTGGCTGGGGCCAGCAGGATACGTGTCACTGTCACAGGAGCCTCCTGTGCAGGGCGGCTGGGCTGCCTGCAGCTCTCTCACACCCCTCTGTGGCTGAGCAGCAACAAATTGAACTCCCAGCCTGAGGAAATACTGTTTTGGCTTTGGAGGTAGCATTGCACAGTCCTCCTTTTATTTCACAAACTTTATTAAATTTATCTCAGTGGACAGGTTGACCAGTTACGTGTAGCTGTAACGGAGCCACCAGCGCCCAGCAGAGCCACCTCAGCTGCAGGAGGGTGCGGGTGAACGGGGTCGCTTGCCCCGCCAGAGCGCTGAGGGGAGCTGCGCTGCGAGGCGCGTCGCACGCGGTGCCTCACGGAGACGCTAAAACTGCGCCTGGCAGGAGGCACCGCACAGCGGCCTCCCGCTCCGCCCCGGCTTCCCCGCGCTGCACAGGTGTTTTTCCACGTCCTTCCTCTTTTGCTGTCTAGGCCTGTACGTTGTTCAGTGGTGACCAGTGCCAGGCCAGGTGCTGCATCACTGAGGCTTGAGCTTAAGTAAATGTTTAAATCCGTCCTTGTTCGCAAAAGCACTTTTATCTGATTTGGGGCTTCTACTGAAATCATGTCGTTTTCAACAGGTCTTATACAAGTGTATGTAAGCTCCAGTGTCAAATGGAAAGGTTTGCCTAAAGCAGGACCTCGCTGATGATGTGTTTTTCTCTCTCTCTCTTTTTTTTTTTCTGAAAAAAATGTGAAATGCCTCAGGAATTGGACGTGCTTCATAAATACATTAGCCCCTTCCTGAGCTAAGAATAAGACCTAGCAGGCCGTGCAGACCAATAGTCATTTTCTGCTATTTCATTAGCAATAATGTAGTTGGGTTGGTTGGTTGGTTTTTTTACCGTATTTTGGTTTTGTAGGTGCCAGGGTTACTGATCTGCTAGGGATAAGCAGAATAATCCTTGGCCCATGATGCAGTTCAGCTTATGGGCTTGATAAAAACGGGCCCAGCTGTGGGGCAGATGGGGGAGCTGGTGCTCCACAAGCAGCTCCAAACTGCTGGGGATGGGTCGGTGCTTCAGTGAGGGGCCCTGGGCATTGGCCCCGCGTGTTTTGTAGGCGCAGACTGTTTGAGCACACCCTGGGCAGCTGCTGTGACGGGAATGAGCAGCCCTGGTGAAAGGAGTGATGGAAAACAGCAAGCTGAGGTATTGGAGGGCAAAATCGGGGTGGAACTGCTGCTTTAGGAAGCTTTTTAAACAGGGGCAATGGACATAGCACATGCAGGTGTTGCCTTTATTCAGACGAGCCGTTTCCCGAACTAAGGGATACTCCTGCGGTGGGAAGGAGAGTGGCAACATCAAGCAAACAAAAGCAAATCCCTGTGGCCTGGGATTTGCCTGTAGCAGCCGGCAGCTGGGATGGAGCGCGAGGCGGACGAGTGCCCTCTGCTGCACGCGCGGCCTCCAGGCTGCTGTGGAGGCTGCCCGCCCGCCTTGGCACTCAGGTACAAAAAATAAACAAGGAAAAGTGCTGAGCGTGAGCCATACTTCAGAGAGAGAGGTGAAGAAACAAGCAAGCAAACAAACAAGGTAAATGTGTTGTGTGTTTCGAGTGAAAAGCCAGCGGGCAGATACGCCGTCTGAAGTCAATCTCGCCTCTCCAAACTACTGTACTTTTGAGCTAGGGGAAGTTACTTCGTACTGCAGTGAATGCCGAAAAAAGAAAATAAAAATGTAAAAAATAGTGTTCCCTTTTTTTTGAGTTTACTTTCTCATTTTTTAGTCCTGGGTAGTGTTAAAGAAGACAACAGGAAGCTTCGTTGCTCTGAATGTATACAGTTACTAAGATGTCAAGTATCTAAATGTTTTGTATGTGCACATACCACCGTCCTGACTTCTCGTCTCATGTTTAGGAACCCAAAAAGACTGTACCATTTTGTAATTAAAAATGTAAGGGGGGGCAGGGGGCGGGAGGGTCTGTTATTTTTATAGCAAGGCGTTCCTTGTATTTAGCAAGCATTTTACATGATTTTGTACTTGTCAGAAATATGCATTCCATCCATTTCCAGAAGAGAATTATTTTTGTTCCAAGTAGTCTATAAGCAAACCAAAAAACTGCAGCACTCGTGTTGTACGCAGCTCACGAGCAGCGCCAGAGCCCCCTGGTTTCCAGGGCTGGCTCTTCCCGCCCGCTGCAGAACCCTACCAGCAAGCACCATTTTCAAAAAGAGAAGAAAAGCAAAATAACTATCACATGCATTTTATTTTCGGAATCAGCGCACAGCTTACGGGAATAGTTTCCAGTGAGGAGGATGCGGTGCGGGGACGGGCTGTGCCCCACGCGCGGGAGGCTCCCGTGCTGCCGCGGATGTGCTGGAGCGGAGCCGTGTTTGGGGCCCGGGTCTGCAGGCTGAGCGTGTTGGGCTATTCGGACTGCGGAACCTGCCCCCTCGTTCAGCCGGGTACACCCAGATTTGTGAGACCCCGGCCTAAGAGCAGGGGAAAACCACACAGTGGCACCTGCATAAACAGTTCTAGGGTTTTCGCGGGTTTGAGGGGAGGGACTGTTCGTTTATTTTATTTTCCTGCTACTGGTGAATTTTCTGCCAAAATGGTGCGGTGGCAGCCTGTGAAGCCAGCCTTTTTTTTCTAGCGTTGTTTTCTGTACAGTATTGCAAATACCCTTCAACTCTTGGCTGATATTTTGTAATGTATACATCTTGCCCTCCAATGCACTTTATCTCTCTTGAAAAACGTGGGAGTCAGAGAACCACCATCGTAAAGGGATTTGCCTGAAATCCTAAGGCACACGCTTATTTTTTTCCTTCT